GAAAAGGTGGCGGAACTCAAACCTGGCCACGCCCTCATCAAACCCTAGGACCGCCCCTTTAGAGAACAGGAATGCAAGTAAAATTTGGGAGGGGCTATTTCCGGTGTGGGAGGGGCTATTTCCGGTGCGGCCGGCCCGGAAAAAGGTGCCGGAACGCGGTTCCGCCGCGTTCCGGCTGAAAAAAAGCCCTGGTTATGATAAGACCCTAAAAATCACTCATAGGAGAAGGAAGATGTGCTCTTCTCATGCGAGGCAGAAAATGCAGGCGCTGCTGTGCCCGCTTCACCAGCGTCTCGCTGGCTTGCTTCCTTCTCCTATCCCAGTGATGGTGAACCTTTTAGACACCGAGTGCCCAAACTGCAACCCAAAACCCACTTATGCATCGTCGGGTGCCGGGTGGGTGTGGCCCGTTGGGTGGGCATGGCTACAGTGGTAACAGCAGACTGGGTGGGACTAAAAAGTTCAATCAATCAATTCCAACTTTGCAAGATCTTTTTTTTCCCCACGAAAAGTTGAAATTGACTGATTGACTGAACTTTTTTTTTTTTTTTTGCACACGGCGGCAGAGGCCTAAAGCGAAAAGGTTTTATAAAACCCAGCTGAAGGCCTAGGACTGGGGCGACGCCGTGCATGCCCACAGAGAGGGCTCTGAGTGCCGCCTCTGGCACCCGTGCCATAGGTTTGCCACCACTGTCCTATCCTTACCACTTTCTACAGGGGGACGATTGAGAGCATCCTGTCATATAGTATCACAGTCTGGTTTGGAAGCATCACTGCTTCAGACAGGAAGGCGGTGCAGAGAGTGGTGAGGATGGCTGAAAAGATCATTGGCAGTTCCCTCCCTCCCATGCAGAACATAGCACAGAAGCGTTACTTGAGCAGGGTCCGCAAGATTATCTGGAACACTACTCTTCACACCTGTTTTCCTTGTTACCTTCTGGGAGGAGGCTTCGCGGTATCCGTAGCAGAACATTCAGATTCAGCCATAGTTTCATTCCATACAGCATTAACCTTGCGAACTCTCAAGTTTCCTCCTTCTGTTATATATTCAAGATGGACAGTATTTAATATTTATTTGCTACGTATATGTAGGGGTGTGGGTCTATATATATGTTGTATATGGTATGTTTAGGTGTGTGTCATGTATGTGTTTCACTTTGAGAGCGGGCAACTAAATTTCATTTTTGATGTGTGCCGTTGTGTCCAGTCTTTTCTTTAAAACCTCCAGTGATGAAGCACCCACAACTTCTGAAGGCAAGCTGTTCCACTGGTTAATTGTTCTCACTGTTAGGAAGTTTCTCCTTAATTCCAGTTGCTTCTCTCCTTGATTAGTTTCCATCCAGAGTTTCTTGTCCTGTTTATTGGAAAATAAATTGACCCCCTCTTCTTTGTGGCAGCCCCTCAAATACTGAAATACTGCTATCATGTCACCCCAGCCTTCTCTTCTTTTGTTACTAGGCAGTAGTGTCCCACCATTTGTCACATAAAAATTTGGATGCTTGGCAACTGGCATGTATTTATGATGGTTGCATATATCTTCTAACTAGGTGTTCCCTCCGATGTAATTCTTTACGGAAAAGAAACTCAAAACTTGTATTTTCTCTTCAGATCAAGGTTGGGGATTGCCTGAAGGCTCAGAAGGAAGAGAAAGAAAAAATAGCTACATACAAAACAGACACAGAGCAAAGAGTGCAGGAGATGCTTGTAAGTATTGATCCAACGGTGAGGAGCTTCTGAGCTAATAGGAAGGAGAACACCACCCGCCATCTTTAATAATAGGCAGCCTATTGTTTAATAATAGACAGTAAGTACAAGTTCTGACTTAAATAAAATTCAAGTTAAAGACTGTGTTAGGGCACAGAACTTGTTCTTAACCTGGGGATTGTATCTTTCGGTTGTCACCATTGGTTGAATGAGTCACAGTCATGTTAAGGGCACCTATCAGCCATGTTTTACAAAACGGGTTTGGTTTACATAATAAATTAATGCAAACCATATTTCATCTTACTGAAAAAAATGTGAACTCAAATATTTTTCTGTCTACTTTTTTGGAATCTGATCGTGAGAGATCATTTAAACTGGAGCCTTTTTTTTTTTTTTTAGAAACCTTTCCCCCTGTTCTTGTTAATGTCAAAAGGTGCTTTTTTTCTCCCTAGGAAATTCTACCACCTGACTTCTGGATTCTTCAGGGAATCCATTTAATTATTACAATTAAAATAAATATAAATATAATTAAAATAATTAAAATAAAATAAAAATATGCCTTTTGCTGTTTTTGTCTTCTTGTTCTAGGACCACATCGAAAAAGAGAAAAAAAAATGTAATGGCTGAATTCAGAGAACTACAACTCTGGTTAGAAGGACAGGAGGAGCTTATGTTGGCTAGAATGGAAGAGACGGAGAAGGATATTATGGCAATAAAGGAGAAAGGTTTGGCCAAGCACATGGAGGATCTGTGCTCTCTTGATGATCTCATCCAGGAGATAGAGGAGAAGCATCAGCAGCCAGCCAGCAAACTCTTACAGGTCAGGCAGGAAGTTGAGATCATAGACTCACAGGGCTGGAAGGGACCTTGGAGGTCTTGTAGTCCAATCCTCTGCCCAAGGCAGGAGTCTTTATACCAGTGTTTCTCAACCTTGACAATATTAAGGCATGTGGACTTCAACTCCCAGAATTCCACAGCCAGCAGCAATGCTGGCTGTGGAATTCTGGGAGTTGAAGTCCACATGCCTTAAAATTGTCAAGGTTGAGAAACACTGCTTTATACCATCCTGAAGAAATGATTGTCCAAACTATTATTGGAAGCCTCCAGTGATGGAGCAACCGTCATAAATATGAATCAGTTGCTAAGCAGCTGGATTTTGATTATGTGACCATGCTGCAACAATCTTAAGTGTGAAAAATGGTCATAAGTCATTTTTTTAGTGCTGCTGTAATTTCAAATGGTCACTAAATGAACTGTTGAAAGTCAAGGACCTCCTGTAGTGGCTAATATTAGGGATACCGGTATATAGTGTAATTCAGAAAAAGCAAGCCACGCGAAAAGCAAGAATTCAAAGTTCAGGTCACTTGTCTATATTTTTCACAATTTTAAGAATGCCTGCTTAGGGTTCCTATTAGCTGTTAGGGGACGTGGTGGTGGGTGTTCTTTGTAGGGTCTCCTCCCCTTAATCTGCAGGGTAAGGAGAACCTCAACACTGATGGCCTTCTGCAAATTCATAACCGCTTAGATTTTCCAAAGTGCCTTGATTCTGGAATCGTAAATGCAAGACATTTTTGTACTCTATTGATGCACTAATTTATTTTTCACGTCTTTTTGCTATTGTTTTTTTAATATTATTTATTTATTTATTTATTTATTTATTTATTTATTTATTTATTTATTTATTTATTTATTTATATGCAGTATATATTATAATCTGTATAATTGTATTGGATTCAGCCGGAGTATAATTTTTGTAAGACAAGGAAATAAAAAATAATACCTCTCTAAAAGAAGTGGATGACTGGAGAAAAAAGAGCAATGGGAATATTTTTTTTTTAAATGGAAGTTGTTTTTATATGTGCGTTAGTGTCCAGAGGCTTCACACATTTCTTTTATTAATTTAACTTTCTGCATAGGAAATGGTTCCTTTCAATCTTTTGTCTCTCTTTTTTTAGGACATTGGAAGCATCTTGAAGAAGTAAGTGAATCCCCCCTCCTCTTTACAGTCTCAGAAATCTGCAGTTCCTCCAGCAGTTTTGCTATTTTGGAAACTTTTGTTTGTATTTTGCAGTCTTTTAATTTAAAGATAATGTACTGTATTTCAGGGCTTAGTAAATATTTCTTCAGACAACCCCAATACTGTACAATATAATTAGCAATATTTGATATGGTGAATTATTATGGTTGGTTGCACAGTTAACCAGATGTTTAGACTGAATTTGGCATTTTTATCCAGCTATTGAGTCCTTCCCAAGTATAGACAGTTGTTTGACGATATTAAAGGTATCATTGTAGGATGTAAGCTGTTCCAAGTAAAGCTGCCTTTTGCAATTGTCTGATAGTGGTTTTGCCAATGCCGATGGTGTTCCAGTGGTGCTCCAGATGTTTTGGGATTACACCCAAGACGTCTATTACTATTGGTACTATTGGTACTACCTTTGTTTTCTTTTGCCACAGTCGTTCTACTTCTATTTGCAGGTCTTTGTGTTTTGTTATTTTCTCCAGTTCTTTTTCTTTTATTCCATTGTCTCCAGGTAGTGCCATGTCCGCTATCCAGACTTTTTTTGTCTTTCTCATCAATAATTGTTAAGTCTGGGGTGTTATGCAGCAGCAAATGGTTGCCTTTGAATTTTAAAGTCCCAAAGCACTTTAGCTTCTTCATTTTCTATCACATTGTCTATTTAATGATCCAATTAGTTTACTATAGTAATATTTTTAAAAAACCCCTTTTGATACTGAATTATATGTCCACAGGATTTATCACTCATTTTCATTAACAAAATCATTCAACATTGTTCTATCTATCTCATTTTCAGTGAAAAAATATTTTCTGTAAGGAAATATTTTGAATCCTAGTTGCTGATTACACAATTAATGACCTCTGGAATTTTCTCTGCTCAAGGCTAGACATTTACTTTCAGTATCTTTTCAAGGACCTGTTTCTAGGCGTTTTTTTGCTGTTCTCTTTCCAGCCCCTTCTACAATAATTTTTAATATATGGTACACAAAACTCAACCCTTCAGCATAGAACAAAGTGGAAGTAGCACAAATCCTGATATGGAAACTTTGCCTCTGTTCCTGCACATTTTTCTGGTAGATCACACTGTAATTCATATTCATCTTCAGTTTGCATTCGGCTTCCCTTGCAATCCTCGACTTATGACAACAGTGAGGTCATTAAATGAGTAATCATGTGGCAACGCCCAACTATATAATCGTTTTTGCCACATTTGTTAGGTAAATCATGTGGTTGTTTAAGCCAATTACACGGTTGTTAAGAGAATCTGGATTCGCCCACTGACTTTGCTTGTCGGAAGCCAGCTGGGCAGAATCGGAAATGGCAATCACGTAACCCTGGGACGTTGCAACTATTGTAAATACATGCCAGTTGCCAAGCACCTGAATTGTGATTACAGGGGTACTGTGACACATGTCGTGCGAAAATGGTTGTAAGTCACTTTTTTGAGAGCCATTGTAACTGGTTGCTAACAAGTAGTCATAAAATGAGGATTACTCGTAACTGCATTTGTCTCTATTAATTTTCATTGCATTGCTTTTAATCAATCAAGATCAGTTTGAATGTTATATCCCATCTTCTAAATTGATTAGCTACCTCATCCTCTTTAGCCATTTTCAAATTTGGTAAGATACAATCCATTTTTTTGTCCAAGGTATTGTTCTGTCCCCCGTCCGACTCACACACCCCAACCAGTCAGCCGAGGGCTAAAAGACTGCTCAGCACTGCCAAATACAGATAAACACTTGGCAGCAACTCCGTGGCTGCCTGCCAAGACCTTTACTGATAACACAATACAAACACAAGACAAGTCCAGGATAATTGCCGGAGTGCTGCAACATAAGATTCAGCAAAAATTGTTCGTCACAAGAGTTTCAAACGGCACACCCCTTGCTTATATAGCCTGTGGGGTGTGGCCCAGTGACTCAGCTGAAATCTCTGGCACA